AGCCAATCTGTCTGGGCGGGGCTGATAAAAGGAGATGGGGATAAGTCTCTGAATACAATAAATAATTGTTATCAGGACTGATTGTGAGGGTTGGAAATGTAAAGGTAGACATTTTGTAGCAAGAGGAGGGGAGTGATTGACTTTTCAGTTTAGGAGCAGAGGTCCCTAAGACCATCAAGGGAGAAGAACAGAAAGCGGGTCCCTACCCAGAAAAGCAGTGATGCCTGAGATGGAGGCAGAGATGATGACATGGAGAGATGGAACAGCTGGGGGCTTTAGACCCAGAGTGGGAGAGGGGCTCTGTGCTGACAACCGGGGGGGTGGGCAGGCTTTCAGGGTATACCCTTTGGTTGGTTGATGATGCATGGACGGGACTGTAACCATGGCAATGAAACGATATACGATAGGATAAATGTAAAGCTAATTTCTCCCATGTACACTATCACATAATTCACAATAATACATTAAAAAAAACAAACTATTATATCTCCTATTTTGTATTATTATGTTTGCCACTGGTTGTCTCCATGTTAGCAAAGATTAATGAAAACTCTCCATAATTAAGTCCTACTAAAAGGCACCTTACAAATAAAAAATAGGATCAACTGAAATTAGACATTTCCAAAGGTCAGTCTTTTCGCCATCAATGTCACTTGACTTTTAAGATAAACAGGCTTTAGTGTATGACAACAACAATCTACATTAATGTAAACCTTTGACTTTTTATTAGAATCTAATACAGAGCAACTTTCTTCATCCTTCCATTTACTTCATTAGCTTAATGAGTATGTTTCTGGAGACATTTAGTCTGTCTAGCATGGCAAGGGAATTAACATCCTGGGACTAGACATAAGATGAACAGTGCCAGATTTTCTATTTATATTTCATTAAAGTGCTTTGAGACATCTTTCTAGACTAACTATATTTTCATGTAAGTCAAACCCATTTCAGATTCCAACCAATTACAGTATCTGTAGGTGTTAAGATCTATTTGATATACCTTGAGTTTGAACAGTGGAACTCAGTATGGATGAAAGGATAAAAATCTTCTGTTCCTACTGTTAAAATATTCATTACAAGAGAAATAATAAAGTTTGCAAAAGGCCTATTTTAACATGAATCATTTGAATGCACAATTTGAAATTCAAGAATATAGAAAATTCTTGGATTGTCTTTTTATTCCCCAAGTAAATTTATTTTGATTAAGGAACTTTGTTAGCGTTATATTAAATTTAGTTACTTTTTTTTTTTTATAGTTTTAAACCTTACAAGAACGTAAAGTAGATACAGGTGTGGTGCTGTGCAATAAAGCACTGGACTGCAAGGTCTGTTTGAACTGCAAAGTAGGTGGTTCAAGCTCACCAGCTGCTCCTCAGAAACCCTATCCAGGGTTGCTATGAGTGGTAACCGACTCAACACTTAACAACAGAATACTACTATGACATGTAATTTAAAAACGTTATAAACCTTGGTATGATACTTTGGATTATCATTTGTACTTCATTTATTTTTATTTTTTCAAAAGATATTTTTAGAGAAAATAAGAATAGGGTATCTTAGAGATAAACACAAAATATTTTGGTTTAATTTCTATAAAATATTAAAACACAGCAAAATCCATAAACATTTATTGAACAGCTACAATATCTTCCCATTCCATCCAATTGTCAAGGCCCAGATCATTTACTTCTAAAGTATTTGAGTCCACTTCTCTTACTATTTGCTGTCACTGCCTAGTTCAAGCTCCTACTTAATGCTGCTCCTGTGAAGATTTGCAACCTCTGAAACCCTATATAGACAGCACACAGCAACAACATCACATTAAATATCCCTATCTTCATTCACCTTACTGATTCCAAACTTACTCTTTTACATTTCACTTTGTAAGACTTCACAGCCTCTTGTAGCAATGATAGCTGTTCATAAACCTTTTGTGCGTTCCACCCTCATCGCCACCTTTGTACCCTGAAATCACTCTGCCATACACACTATCTTTGACCCATTAATGTCAGTCTATTCAAAGCAAGTTTTTATCCCCATGTGCTTGAAATGTCTTATCTCACCCAAATTTTTGCTTCAACTGTTTGAACAGTTCAAAGATGACTCTCACTATGTGATAAATGATCACTAGACTGTAAGCTCCATGAGTACAGGAAATTGTGCCTATCATAGTTCAACACTCTACGATTAAAAGGCTAGAGAGGCTTCTCATAGGAAAGATCAATGATATTCTGTTAATCATCAGTGAGTTAGCTCAGGAAAATACCTTACTACAAAAATACTTCTTTAAAAGTAAAAAAACAAAAAACAAAAAACTGCCATCAAATCAGTTGTGACTCCTGGCAACCCCATGTGTTTCAGAGTAGAACTTTGCTTCATAGAGTTTCACAGCAACAACCTTTCAGAAGCCGATCGAACCAAACCATTCTACCAAAATGGCTTTGTTGTTGCTGTTGTTTTGCTAACTTGCAGTCATAGCAACCATGTATAGAGTTTTCAAAGAGTGGCTGGTGACTTCGAACCAACAACCTTGAGGTTCAAATCAACCTTATAGTTGAGTGCTTATCCTACAGTGCCACACCAGGACTCCCTTGGGTGGGTTCAAATTACCACTTTTTCCAACAGCAGCCAAATGCCTAGCCAGGCTTATGCCAGCCAGGCTTGAAACCATAACATGTATATTAAAAATGATACCTGTTGAGCCATTTAAATAATTTACTCCTAAAATTATGTGAGCTCTAATTTCTGTAACATATCAGGCCGCTAGAGCAGCTAGAAGTACAGAAGATATTTCTTGAAAGACTGACAGGAAAAATAAATAATAATAAAGGCAAACTGAATGACTACAAGAACAAGCAAGTTGCTCACCCAGGAGACATCAAGTCCCCTCAGGAAAAACCCCTTCCAAGAG